GGTGCACCGGCTGCCAGGGATGCGCTGCGTCCATCTCGCCCTGCCTGCGCAGGCTTGACTGTGCTTGAAGCAACCATCTCTGCCGCAACGAGCAGCAGCAGCCTGTGCCGCAGCGCACTCGCCCCGGGCATCCATCCATCGGTCGCCCATGGGGCCTGGCGACCCCCTTCCCCCCCCCCCCACGCCCGTCCTGCGCCAACAGACCGCCCGCCCCGCCCGGCCCCACCCTGCTGCCCTTTTGACGGTCCAGGGATGAGCGCGTGTGGCGCTTTGCGGTCGAGCGCGCGCGCGCGCCAATCCTCATGCTGCTCAGCGGCGGCTACACGCGCGCCAGCGCGGGCACAATAGTGGACTCGCTGGAGCGGCTGCTGCGGCGGTACGCCGGGCTCGGGAGCAGCACAGGCAGCGGGCGGGCGGGCGTGGAGTGAGCGGCCGGGCGGCTCGGTGTCTATGAATTGATGGGGCCAAGCTGTGCGAATTGCGAGCACGAGTCGCGCCTGTCTTATCGGGCGCGGGTGCGGGCGCTTGGGCGCATGTGCTGGCTTGCACCGTGCCCCGACGGCGTCGCCGGGGAGAACGACGCGTGCAGGTGGCGACCTTGGGGACCATGCATGCGCATGTCCGCATGCCGCAGCGCCGGAAGCGGTCAGCTCTGATGCATGCATGTTGTGCAACACTTGCGGCCATGCGGTATAAACACATACCGGCTGCTCGCCTGGAGGCTTGGGCGGAAGCAGCCAACTCCTGCACGAGTGCATAGCACGCTGCATCCTCAGGAGGCTGGGATTGCATGCCGGGGCTGCGGCCTGGTTGCGCACTCACAACCTGTTGCGGCAGCGAGCTGCCAGCCTTGTTTCGGCCGCACCACTGCCGTGCGTGCTGCTGTTTGCGCAACACGGCGCACAGGGACGAGCAGCCGCAGATGCAGCAACGTTCGTGCGTTTCTTGGTGCCGACTGACGCCTGATGGCTTCGGCTGCGGTTGTGGAATGATGTGTTTGTGCGCGCGACCAGCGGGCCGCGCCCGGCTGCGCGGCCAGCTGATGCTGCCTGCGTGGCGCGGCACTTCCAATTGGTTCAAGGCTGATCCGTGTCTGCCTCAACCATCCGCCATGCCGCCCACACCAAGGTCGCGTTTGGCAGTGGTGAAAAGATTCCGGCTTTGGCAGCCTGGCAAATGAGTCAGCTGTGGTGGGGGCGCGCCCATGCTGCTGGCGACGCCACAACTGCCGATTGACACGCCAGAGACAGAGCGGACGGAGCGGGGCCGGGCGGAGGCTGGGGCGGGAGCGGGGGAAAGGGGTGTTGAGTCAGGCACGACAGGTGCAGGTCAGCACCACTGCTGTCCTAGGGTTGTGGTGGGTGGTATAGCGCTGCGCCGCACGGCCGTACCTGGAGCATACCTGGATCCGCGCAGCCTCCAGCAAGCATAACGAAAAGCGTCATCACATGAGGTGAGCCCAGCAAAGGGTCCAGCAGTGAGGGTCCTTGGCGCGTCACACCCCCTGATGTGAGACGCGCGCAGGGTTGTCATGACCCCTACATGAGCACGAGCCACGCTGCCAAGCGATGCCCGCTGGGAGGGAGGGCCGTGATCATGCCTCAGTGCAGGGATGGAGGTCTTCAGAGCTGTCCAGCACGCCAATGCACCAACCAACTGGGGGTCAGGCTGGACAGGGGTGAGCACCTGCGCCGGATCCAACGAGCAAATGCGGCTAGTGTGGCTGCCAGGTGACAGGATGCATGAGCCGCTGCCGCCCAAAGGACCAAGCGTCCCGGTCCTAAGGGGAGTTGTTGATTGCTGTTGATTGTTTCATGGTTTTTTTCACATGGGAGAACACAGGTTTGTCCCAGACACACTCAGGGCAACTGGCACCTAATCACCTAACGGCACAGTGTGTGCGCGGCCTTTCACCGATCCGCAGGCCACGCCAGATGACGGCCCCGTACCGGCTTTGTCTGAGCATGTGGGGCACAGCATGATTGTATCATGAGCAAAAGCTTGTATTGGATGGACTTTACAGCACTCCAGCACGTTTATTGTTGGGAATAATCATCTCTGCACCTTGATGTTGCCTGAGTCATGGTCACACCAAAAGGACCTTTGGCAATTGCATGCACAAGGCCCTGAGGGTTGACGTCAGAACCCAGATGTGGCGGATTCGCAGCGTATAAGTGTTGCATGTGACGCTGTATAGTTACCAGTGAGCCTCACGCCGGCAAAGTCGTGGGTCCCTCAAAATCCGTGACAAACAGGACCCGGGTGTGTCATGCACGTTTGGTGAGCATCAGGAGAAGGAACGTCACATTCTAACTACAAATTCCAACCTCATTTCAATCACAAGCATTCGCCGCATCCGCGCTCTAGTTCGCGAGCCAGACCCCTACAAGGCTGCATTAGGTGAGCTCGCGCGGGCCGTGCGTCCCTTCACTGTCGTTGTTGTGTCTCTGAACTGTGTATCGCGATCTTGGTCGCGAACGGGCCGTGGTGAGGCCAGCTGTGGCTGACCCCCCAAACCTCCTCTCCTGACACGGCCCCCATAATCTCCGCGCCCCCCCGTGACTTGTCCATGACCCCTTCCCCCACCCCCTCCTGATGCCCCCCTCTGCAGGCCACACCAACAACCTTCACCATGAGCCGCGCGACCTTCGTGACGCTCGCCTTCGTGGCCGCGCTGTGCCTGGCGGCACCCGTGGATGCCCGCCGCCACCTGCGCCAGGTGTCCGTGTCTGGCGTCACCGGCACCCTCAGCGGCGTTACCGGCGGCACGTCCAGCG